CTTTAGTCGAGGGTTGATTCACTGCTTTGTATCGATTGAGAACCTCTTTCGATAGAGGGAATCTAGTTCAGAACGCCTTGATCAGTTGTTCTAGAGAAGGATACGTCCCTCTAGGCAATTGACTCAAGAGGGCCTTGTTCCTTTAGTCGAGACTCAAGGTCTAGTCAAGGATTCTCCGCATTGTGAATGAAAGTGAAACAAGTTAGAAATCATCAATCATTAATCTTACTAGTGGCTAGGGGGAATCATACCTAAGTGAGTTCCTAACCTGTAATTAGATTAACTTTTACTGTAGTTTGCTAGAATAGTTTTAGTTGTTCCATCTTAATCTGGTTTGCTAGATAATGAACTGAAGTTGAGTAATAGTAACTCTAGAGACCCGTGGATTCGATATTTATTACTTGAGCCACTATACTGCAGTCCCTTTCATTGGTTACACTTGGCCATTGTTAGGAGTTGTGTCGTAGCGAGCCAGCCAGTACTTCAGTTTTGAAGCCCATTGGCAAGACCACGAGAATTGCAAACATGGCATAAAGGAGGGATGGGAAGAGAATGGATTTGGCTCAGTGATGGGGAGAATTAGAGCTTGTGAACAAAAGTTGAAAAGTTGGAGCAAACAAACTTTTGGCAGTCTCAAAGCCCGAAGAATTAAAGTACAAAGGACTTTAGAAAAGATTGAGAAAATGCACAAAACGGAAGCAATCATGGAGCAAAGAAGGGCCCTCAAAAGTGAGTTGGAAGACATATTACTGCAGGAAGAGTTGATCTGAAAGCAAAGATCCAGAATGAAGTGGCTACAACATGTGGATAAAAATACTAAGTTCTTCCACAGAAGAGCTTCGGATAGAAAAGCAAAGAACATGATCATGAAGTTAAAACATGAGGATGGGAGAATTTGCCAGGGACAACAGGATCTACGGACTGTATTGCACAATTTTTCAAAAAATTCTACACCTATGGGGCTTGAGCTGACTCTAACACTGTAAATGAAGTTGTACCACCGAAAGTCACGGTATCTATGAATGAAGAATTGCTCAAACCCTTCACTGGGGATGGAATTTGGGCATCTTTGAAGGTAATGGGCCACTATAACTCCTGGAGCAGATGGTATGCCTGCCCTGTTCTTTCAAAAAAACAGGGTAATAGTGGGGGATGCAGTGACGACGGAGTTACAGGATATTTGGAGGCAGGCAGTTTCCCTCAAAAGCTTAATCATACCCTGATTGCTTTGATCCCAAAGAAAAAGAACCCTAAGACCCCAATGGATTTCCCCCTATTAGCTTGTGCAAAGTACTCTCCAAGATCCTATCTAAGGTACTAGCAAACAGGCTCAAGGGTGTCTTAAATGAGGTGATTGTACCAAATCAGAGCGCCAAAGAGACTGATCACAAATAATGTAATGATAGCTTTCGAGTGTTTTCACTCCATGAAGACCAGAACTCAAGGAAGCAAAGGGTTCGTGGCTGCAAAAATGGATATTACTAAGGCTTACGATAGAGTGGAATGAGATTTCTTAGAAGCTATCATGTTGAAGTTGGGTTTTCAAGCTAGACGAGTACAAATGATGATGGCGTGTGTTACTACCATATCTTTTTCTACTTTGGTAAATGGTCATTGAGATAGAGACTTTCTACCCAAGTAGAGGATTGAGACAGGGGGTCCCTATATCCCCTTATCTTTTTCTGTTTGTGGTGGAGGGACTATCAACTTTGATAACTAAGGCAAAAAGGGAGAAGATTGAAGGGATTAAGGTGAGAATTAATGCCCCACAGGTATCCCACCTACTGTTTACAGATAATAGCATTATTTTCGCTAGAGCAAACAAGTTGGAGTGTGAGAAGATAAGGGATATCCTAAACCTATATGAAGCAGAATCGGACCAGAAAGTAAACCTACAAAAATTTGAACTGTCTTTTAGTCCTAATATTATACAGGAGAAGAGAAATGAGCTGACAAGCATTCTGAACATGAAGTGTGTGGATCACCATGAGAAATATTTACGCTTACCTAAAATAATTGGCCAAGCAAAGAAGCAAGTGCTTGGTTATCTAGTGGATAGAGTTCGCTCTAAAGGGAAAATGTGGAATGTTAAACTACTCTCTGTGGCAGGAAAGAAAGTACTGATCAAATAAGTAGCACATGCTCAAATGACTTTCACAATGTCAGTCTTCCTGATCCCAACAAATACACTACGGGAGGTTAAATGAATTATTACCAACTACTGGTGGGGACAACAATAAGAAGAACCTAAAACTCATTGGTTAAGTTGGAAGGATTTGTGTAAAATGAAGAAACTGGGTGGTTTGGGGTTCAGAAACTTGCAGAGTTTTAACCTTGCCCTACTGGGTAAACAGTAGTGGAGAATTATTCAACACCCTGAGACTCTAGTTGTCAGAGTTTTAATAGCAAAATACTTCCAAGACAAAGATCCTCTCGAAGCTAAAGTGGGCAGGAATCCTAGCTGTGTGTGGAGGGGATTAATGGCAGCAAAGGATTTAGTCACACGTGGGATAAGATGGACATTGGGGCATGGTCACAAGACAGACATCTAGATTGATAAGTGGGTACCATCGAGTGCTAATCTCAAGGTTACCTCTCCAGTTTCAATCATTGGATCCTCTACTTCTATAGTGGAACTAATAGACCAGGATACAAGAAGTCGGAGGAGTGATCTACCATAGGCTCATTTCAACCCAACGGACTGGAGGAATATTAAGAGAATCTCAATCCCTAGGAACCCTAATGAGGATGCAAGAATCTGGATCAAGGAAAAGTCAGGGGATTATACTGTCAAGTCGGCTTATCAACTATGGGAAACCAGGAATGAAGAAATGGAAGGTGAATTCTATACGCTGGTGAGTTGGAAGAAGGTGTGGGGCTTAAACATCCCACCGAAGGTAAAGCTGTTCGCGTGGTGATGGATATGAAACAAACTTCCTACGGGCGCTCGGATTCTAGAGAGGACTCAAAAGGGCACCGAGTGATGCCCTTTCTGTGATCTAAGAGAAACGCAAGAACATATTCTTAGGGAGTGTGGCTGGGTTTGATGGGTTTGGAGAAATAGTCCGATGACAATGCTATTTGAGCGAGGAGAGAATCTTACCTCGGAAGAATGGTTATATAAGATTCAGGAAATACTAGGTTCCTTTTTGGTATCGCTCTAGTAAATCTGGGATCAACGGAATAGTCAATTATGGAATAAAAGGAAGTTTGAAGAATGGGAAATCATGCCTAAAGCTCGGGTTTGGTTGAATGATTACCAGGAGAAGCAATTACGCAGGGATCCACCGGTAGGGGTGGGCAATCAGTTTGGTAAATCCGAACTGAACCGAAACCGAAATAATGTTATTCAGTTCGAAATTTGGAAGGGAAATGTGAATATTTCGGAAACCATGGTTCTTTCAACGAAATTCCAAAATTCCGACCGAAAAATCGAATTATTATAATTGCAAGCTCCAAATGGTGGATTTTATGTTTGTAGTTGTTTTTAGACTTAAATATTTGAATCATGTTAGTGTTTATGATTTATGTGTTGAAATGTTTGATTTTATTACTGATGATGCATATAATTGCATATTTATTGTTTATATTAGAGGTGAAAAATAATTTAAAAGGGAGAAGATACAAGTAGCTTCACAAATTCGGTTTTGTGTGAAATTTCGAACCGAACTGAATTATAATTTGGTTTAGACCGACCGAACCGAATTATAATTTGGTTCAAATTCGATTTGAGATTTGAGAAAATTCGGGGGCCCGGTATTCATAACCGAATTCCCACCCCTATCCACCGGTGAGGGCTAAGGATAACATATGGCAGCCACTGAAACTGGCTCCGACCAAAATTAATATTGATACTGCTTGCATACCGGATCAGGGAACGAGATGGGGTGCGGTGTTTCGAGGCAGGGATGAGAGGTGCTTGTTTTCAGTAGTTAAAAGCTCGTAGATTCAGTGGGAACCGGAGGTGGCAGAGGTCAAGGCGAAGTATGGTTTGGAGCTGGCGAGGAGATATGGTGTCCGGGAAATAAAGATGGAATCAGATTGCTTGGGGGTGATTCCACAATTCCAGAGGGAAGACGAAGGAAGAACAGAAATGAGACTCTTCTCATCAGATATGCGGGCTCAAGCCCAGGAGTGCGAGAAAATCCTGTGGAGGTTTGCAGGTCGGGAAAAGAATAGAGGCCCATTTGATGGCCCAAGTTGAGTGTAGGTGTGGATTGATAGTCCACCTGTGTTTCTTGTACCTCTCTTTAGAGAGAATTACCTTGCAAACCCTTTTGATGATTAATTAGTTGAATGCGGTGGTATTTAAAAAAAATTATATTAGATATGGACACAAAACAACGTCCTTTTACTGTTTGTATGTGTGTCGGGTGAAAAGTGGGTTGGATATTGACAAAATGCACACTTGATCCAAACTATCAATAAAAAAGTGTGTAAAATTGCATCCATCAACATTAGATTTTACCCGTTTTAATCAAATGAGATCAGATTGAACACTCGAAAATCCGAATTTAATTGTCATCCTCAATCTTATTAGCTCTGTTTGTGACTCATAAATTAGCACCGTGCCACAGACGATGCTTACGTTGATGTGTCCACTCACTTTTACGTCCAAATCAAAACGCTTACTTGTCAACACCTTATCCCACCAACGTTGCATCTAACTTCCAGCGCAAGGTTTCTGAATTCCTTGACTTACGAGAAAATACCGCGAAAATCAACAATAAACCCCGCGAAAATGAAAAACAGAAAAAACCGTCCCCCGCCATTCCGTTTTCACACTTCCCGCGTGTTAAACCCTCACACGTGTCAGCTCATTCTCCAAGCCAAGCCCAAGCCCACGATCAGCCCGGCCCGCTTTCACCATCGTTTCCGGAACCGGACAAATTTCCTTTCTTCTTCCTCCCTTCGTTTTCGTTCCGTTCCGTTTACATTTCCTTCCTTCAATCGTTTTCTTTTTCTCTTTCTAAAAAAAAAAATAATTAGATAGAAATTAGAATTTTCCGCTCGCTTCTAAATCTAAATTCCTCTCCCTTTCCCCCACGGGACCCGGTCGACGGAACTCCGTCTCTCTCTCTCTCTCTCTCTAATCTCCTCCTCCTCTCTCTCTTCCTTCTCTGGATCGAAAATCGAAATCCCACCTTCCAACCACCGCTCAGCCCCGCCGCCGCCGCCATCACCGTCCACCCAGCATCACAAATTCACAACCCAATAAGCAGAAGGGAGGGAGGTTCTCTAATTCGTGGAGCTGATAGTTGAGATTGAGCGGGAGCGAACTATCTGGGGGCTGCTGTTTCGCACCGAGAATCGAGTTAGGGTTTCTCAATTGCACTCCTTTTACCTTTTCCCGATTCAGTCTGTTTCCTTATCGGCGAATCTCTTGATTCGGTTTCCGGAGGCGTTTCCGCCCGTTTCTTGCAAACCCTAGTGGCGAGGAAGGAGGAATCGGAGAAACAAAAAAAAGAAAAAGAGAAAAAAGTTCGAGAAGAATAGTAGAAAATAAAAAAAATAAAAAAAGAAGAAAGGAAGGGGAAGAGATAGATCCATTCGTTTATCATTACTAATTTCTTTTTAATTCCTCGATTTGTGTACATAAACAGAGGAAGAAAATTTTGCCCACGGTTTAGTTTGGTTTGGCCTTCGTGTTTAGGAGCTGAATTTAGGGTTCTGCTTGAGACAAGAGACTCCGGTGAAGTTTTTGGTTGGCGTTGTTTTAGTTAGCTATCGGAAATTGAGGGTTTCTTGTTTGAGATCTCGTGTTGGTTTTCACTTAGGCGATGGGATAGGATATTCGTTTCTTTTCTGCGCCTCCACCCTTTGAGATTCCCGTTACTTTTTTTCTTCTGCGTTCTGAGCGCTTTGTCCCTTGCTGTGGGGAGTAATTGCTTTACACGCCCATACTGTATTCTGCAAGTTACTTTTGTGATTGGGGGTTAAGATCGATGGCTTTGAATTTTTCACATCGGATGGTGTTTCCCCCACGTTCTCCAGAGGATAATTTCGTGTCGCCTATTAGGGTCGGCAACAGTTGCTTTGCTGACTGCATAGCGGAGAATGTGGATGGGTATTATGATTTTGGGAGGGATAGTCGGTCTGAGTCTCAGGATGTCATGGACGAGGACATTCTTGATGTTTTGCCTTCGGATCCATTTGGCATGAATATAAGCACAACCGTTACTGCTATAACGGGTTGGCTTGAGGATTTGGAGATGGGTTATGGCCGGGATGGAGTCATGGGGAGCAGTGAACAGTATCAGCTGTTTGCTGGGTTGAATTACTTTATTTGGAATAATGCTTTGAGATTTCAGGCGGCGGCATTTCCTTCAAGCACAAAGTTAAGCCCTAACCCAAATGCGGATTTTCGATTTGGTGATGGGTGTGAGAATAATGAGAAGATGAAAAAAGAGGATCTTGAGGACTCTTTGAGATTGGGGGATGAGATGGTGTGCGATTTAGATGTTGCTACTACAGTGGATGAGATGAGCGTTGGAGATTGTTGTGATGATGTTGATGGAGCTTCTCTTGATGGAGATGAGATAATCCATCATCCTGGTTTTGGCTTAGTCCTTGCACATTTGAGCCTGAGGGACCTATTATCAGTTGAGATGGTTTGTACTTCACTGCATTCTGCAGCTCGAGCTGAGCCATTCTTTTGGAGCAATATTTACATTGATCAACCACTGAGTGAGAAGATCACCGATGACATTCTTGTTCAAATAACGGATAGGGCTAAAGGTACTCTACGAACCTTGACCCTAGTAGAGAGTTCATGGATTACCGATGCTGGGCTGAAGCATGTACTTGAGAACAATCCTGAGCTAACCAAGGTGAGTCTTTGAGCTTTCCATTTGGATTTCTGAAATCTCTGGTATTTTTGTTTATGTGTAGAAAGAGAACTGTGATTCTATACTTTTTGTGCCAATTTTTGTTGTGTGGATGTAATTTATTCTCTCTTTGGCTTTTGGTGGCAGTCCCTAGTTAACCAAAGTTGTATTGTTTGTTGCTTTGGTAATGTTGTTACTTTGTTTAAAAAATTATAAAAGGGAAACTTTGTCGAGCCTAGCTATGTTTGATCCTCAATGTTCACAAAATGTCCCTCTTTGTTGTGGCAATTGCATAATTTAGTTTCTTTCCATGGTTTTTGTTGACTTGCTTCCTGCAACGTGTTGTTACATAAATATTATCTTATAATCTGTAGCTGATTCATGTTCTCTGTGTAATGCTTTTACTATCTACCTGCTTTTCAAAATATGTTATGGTTACACCATCTATGGTAAACATTTCTTCTCATTTCTTTGGCAATGTGTGTTAATTCTCGAGCCCTGTTTGTATTTGATCTTTTTTGCAGCTGAGTGTGCCCGGATGTTCTAGAGTCAACGTCGACAGCATTGTGACTATTTTGAAAGAACTCAAGGCTTTGAATAAACTGGGCTTGAAGCACTTGAGGATTGGAGGGGTCTATGGAGTGACACACGACCACTATGAAGTGTTAAAGTCAATGCTGGATGCTGATCCCAACAAGCAGCAGAAAGCCAGAGGGCCACTCTATTACCACAGAGCAAGCCCTTATCTGCCATGTGATGATGATCGTGCCATCGATATCGAAATGTGCCTGAGATGCCATAACCATAGGTTGGTTTATGATTGCCCTGCTGAAAGTTGCCAGCAAGGGAAACATTCAGCTTTGGCCTGCCGAGCATGCACACTTTGCATATTACGTTGCGCTCAGTGTGGTCGGTGTATCAATGATAGTGAATATGAAGAAACTTTCTGCCTGGAGTTGCTTTGCGCATTTTGTGGAAGTGCCAGTTGAAACGGTGAAGAAAACAGGATCATCCAGCTACTGTTAGTTTGTCACGGATAGCATATTTTTCAGCTGTACTTCAGTCTATGGTCTCTGCCTATCCATGGAGGCATGCTCTTCGTAGAGTTGTATATTTGCTGCTTTTATGAGGCAAAAAGAAAAGGAAAATACAAAATGAAGAAGAAGAGGAAGAGGAAGAGGAAGAGGAAGAAAAGGAGAAAGGTGGCAGCCATGCGATGGGTGATTCTTTTTGCATTTGTCTGTGTTGTTGCTGACTTCAGGCTCAGCATTCGTGAACTTTCAGCTTTGGTGAAAAAGCAGAAATAAAAGATGGAGAAAGTGGGAAGGAAGGTAGTAAGAGACGCATTGGCCATTGCTGTGGAGATATATGAATTCAGCTCGCTGCTTTCGGATCAAGGAGGCATTGATCGGGCCTTCAAAATGCAGCTGCTCAGTTGAAGGTGTTGTCTTTTGAAGTTGTTAGAGTAACGTGTTCTAAGTAACATGTGAGACCAGGTTCGTTCGAAATCCTCGAGGATGCTGGCTTTGGTATTTGCCAATCATCCGAAGATTTGGCGGTGGCTACTTGCCCTACTTAAAGCGTTCAAGGAAACTGTGTATACTCTGCTCAATTCGCTCTCCCGGGAGAGCAGAAGAAGTTTGATAACCTATGACCAAGTGTTGTACTATTGTGATTCAGATGTGATATTAATTGTCTCTCCCTACCCTACCCTGTTGGTTCTTGTGATGTGTCTAATGCAGTTGTGTAGGGGAAGAATAATGATTTGGTGGTTGTATTTCCCAACCAAAAATTTCAACAGGAATAATGGGTTGTACGTTGTTGTACCTAAAACCTAAGCTAGCTTTTGCTGTTATTAGTTCTTTGCATTTTTTTTTTTGTTTTGTTTCACATAATGATAACTGATAAGAAGGGGGAGAAGGGGGCAGACACCTAGCCTTCTTTCGTTGTGCACATGTTGCCTTTGAGTTTTTGGTTTGGTGGGTTAATTGCAAGGATGGTCACTGGGTTTACTAAAACCGTTCATGTTTGGTCACTGCAAATATTTAATTCCATTCATGGTCACTAAGATTAGTTCAATAGTTCAAGTTTGGTCACTCTCCGTTAGTCTCCGTTAGTTTTTGCTGATGTGGCAGTCAACTATTATAGTTGACCGTTAAATGAGTGACGTGGCCAATAAAAAAATAAAAAAATAATAAAATTTAAATATTTACAATTTCCACCTCATTTTACAACTATTAAGAAATAAAAATAAAAATAAAACTTACCTCCTCCAAAAAAAATCATTAATCGCTCCTCTTTCCAGCTGCCACCGGCAGCCCCTCCCACTCTTACTCCCTCATCTGTTGTCTGCTTACCCTACTACGACTACGAATTCCAAACCGAACCTTTGAACACGGAGGAATCGAGCAGTGCTCCCGGCGTGGTGGCTAGCGATGTGTCCGCCAAACACAGCATAGAGAACTAAAACAAGAAGGGGGAGGCCATTGGAGAAGGGGAAGGAAGGAAGGAATTAGCAGAGAGAGAGAGAGAGAGAGAGAGGCGGTTTGAGGAGGTCTGTCGATCGATCTACGTACATCTGCTGAACTGCTCGGCCTCTGATCTGGTGTGGTGGAGCATGATCAATCCGGCTGGATCGGGAAGGCAGACAGAGCAGAGAATGGGGAGAGGGAGAGTGCAGTTGCGGAGGATAGAGAACAAGGTCAACAGGCAGGTGACGTTCTCGAAGCGGCGGTCCGGTCTGCTGAAGAAGGCGCATGAGATCTCTATTCTGTGCGACGCGGAAGTGGCTCTTATCGTCTTCTCCACCAAGGGGAAGCTCTTCGAGTACTCTACGGATTCCTGGTAATTCACTCTCATCAATTGCACAATCCTTTCCCATCTTCTCGACTCGATTTGCTCTACTTTAGTAGCGCCGAATCCATCTTCTGGTTTTTTATCTCAATTGCATCGGATGTTGGTTCGTTGGTTTGGATGGATTGCTGTTAGCTAGTTAGGGTTTCTTACTGCTTCGTCTATTTCAATCAATTTGGGGGTAAAATTAAAGAAGAGAAAAAGCAAAACATAAGCAAGCAAGGAGAAAGGATACGAAAAACGAAATTGGGAATGTATGGAGGTAAATTTTATTTTTATTTTTATTTTTTAATAGTTGTAAAATGATGTGGAAATTGTAAATATTTAAATTTTTTTATTTTTTTATTTTTTTATTGGCCACGTCACTCATTTAACGGTCAACTATAATAGTTGACTGCCACATCAGCAAAAACTAACGGAGACTAACGGAGAGTGACCAAACTTGAACTATTGAACTAATCTTAGTGACCATGAATGAAATTAAATATTTGCAGTGACCAAACATGAACGGTTTTAGTAAACCCAGTGACCATCCTTGCAATTAACCCTTGGTTTGGTTGTGTAGTTCTGTATTTGTGAGTTGTGACTGGAAAAGTGAAACGACCTAGAAGTTACTGTTGTGATGCCGACATACAGTGCAAAACGTTCTCTTCATCTTTCTACCTTGCCCAGGTCTTTAAATATTGAATCGTTTTAGGTATCCCTGAAGAGTAAATAGCAGAGAGGTATGTAATGTTGAAATTGAGGAGTCTTTCATGGCATGCTTGAGTTTTAGTTCTGGAGTGCGCAGATGTGCCCCTTTCTTCTTGGTAGTTACATGAACACCCATCACCATTGAGGATGACAATTTCGAGCTAATTCATTTTTAGGGGTGAGACTCGATTTTTCGGTTAACGGTTTAACTAATAATCAGGCAGTAATTGTTGTCGGATGGGAAATTTTGGGCGGTGGAATGCCGGAACTCGGAATTAACTAACGCCAGAAACCCGGTTGTTCGATATCGGATTTGCAGGCGCAGCGACGCAATACTAATTCCCCAATCCCGACCCTGTTCTCGATTCTCCTAATTAGTAAAATTGGTTCTTGTTATTGTCGAGGTTGTAGCCGACATCGAGTTTTTTTTAGGTTGGGCACCTGAGTCGGTCGACGACCACCTCCCACCTCGAACTTCTCTCGTGATGTCAGGTAGGGATGGCAATCAAACCCATGGCCGCGGGTATCCGACCGCCTTCGATCCAGTCAACGCGGGGAATCCCCGCTTTGACCGGGTATGGGGCGGGTATGGGTAAAACCCGCAAAAAGTTTGATGGGTATGGGGCGGGTATGGTTTTAGCCTCCCCCGCCCCATACCCATACCCATACCCATACCCGCCCCACCAAGAGAATTTCTTCACATATAAAAAAAGGCTTAATTGCAAGTTTGGTCACTCGAATTGCTATAAAATTTTACGTTTGCCACTCAAATTAATTTATTCCATTTACAGTCACTCTAATTAGTTGAACAGTTCAAGTTTGGTCACTCTCCGTTAACCTCCGTTAACTTTGACTGACGTGGCGGTCAACTCTGACAGTTGACCGTTAAATGTGTGACGTGGCAAATAAAAAATAATTAAAAAATAAATTTAAATTTTTAGAAATTACACATCATTATAAAAAAATTATAATTATAAAAAATGAAAAAAAAGAAATTATCACACTCCTCGCCGACGGGATTCATCACCGCCTTCTCCACCTGGTCTCTGGAGCCCACCCCGATCTCCCTCCGCTCTTCTCTCTCCTTCTCCGGCCACCTCGCCGAGCTCGAGCGGATCCTTGTTCAGGCCATTCGCGAGGGCCAGGAGCCCAGAACTCTCCAGGTAACGTAATTCCTTTCTTTTTCTTCTCGTTCTTGATAGCCTGCATTTTGTGGTGAAATTTAATCAGCTTCATTGGTGTTGAGCAGGAAATCTCCATTGCTGCCAATGTCCCGCAGAAGGAGATTGGGAAATACATCAAGGAGAAGCTCTGCAGCTTAGCCAGCCCCTTAATAGCGATTCCATCTCTGTTCATATGCCCAGATTCTGCAACCTTCTCCAACTCAACAAATATGCTCAGGTAATTGGTTTCGCAACTTCGATTCCACTCAGAGAATGTGGGTTGATGTTTGGTTGGTTACCCTTTTACATTGGTTGGCGACGGCTTCTGATCGTGCATCAGCGACATTACGTGCATCTGCAGCGCGCTGTAGTTGTTGTTGACTTGATTCAGCATGTCTCTCAGCCGGAGATTCTCCACTTTCACCCGCTCCAGCTCCGCCTGTAGAACCACCATCTGAGATGATAATTAAAATATGATTCGCAATTAAGAATAAATTAATTTCTTTTTTTGTGATAATTTCTTTTTTCTTTTTTTATAATTATAATTTTTTTTATAATGATGTGTAATTTCTAAAAATTTAATTTTTATTTTTTAATTATTTTTTATTTGCCACGTCACACATTTAACGGTCAACTGTCAGAGTTGACCGCCACATCAGTCAAAGTTAACGGAGGTTAACGGAGAGTGACCAAACTTGAACTGTTCAACTAATTCGAGTGACTATAAATGGAATAAATTAATTTGAGTGGCAAACGTGAAATTTTATAGCAATTCGAGTGACCAAACTTGCAATTAAGCCTATAAAAAAATATGTGGATTAAATTGTAATCTATCAATGATGATGATGATAACTTGAGAAAATAAATAGTAGAAATGCAATTGAGTAACCACCTTAATCAAAACCTAATTCATTTTCCTCAATTATCCTTCCACTCTTTCACTTTCCCCCTTGTCAACAAGATTATGTTAGTTAATTATTACTTAGTAAATGTATCAAGAGTTATAGCATAATAATTTAAAAAATATTGTAGTCTATATTATGTATTAATAGATGTTTTAGGATCATATTCTTTGATTCGTATTTAGAAAATGACCGTGTTTTGTTGACTTCATGATATAATAGGTTTGTTTATGGTTATAATTAAAACTTTTCTTGTAAGTTTTAGGTATAATAATGTTGGATGTACAGGGATGGGTATTACGCATGGGTACCCGAAACCCACGGGTATGGGGATGGGTTTGCAAAACATTCCCCGCATGGGTATGGGGCGGGTATGGGTATTTGAAGATGGGGATGGGGATGGTTTAGGCAAACCCGCCCCATTGCCATCCCTAAATTGTCAGCTACGGTCGTCTCCTACAAAAAGGGTCCAACGGCCGATCCACTTTCCAACGCTCAAGTTAGCAAGGGGGTTAAGTGGAGAAGAATATGACCTCAAAATGAAAGATGAGGGAATGGAGTCGAGAATGAATATTTGCGCTAATCATAGCGAGAGTTCACGAGTTTAGACATGAGGATTTTTTGCTTACCTCAATTTGGAGATGAAGTGGCCTTTTATAAAGGTTTTAGGTGACCTGGGGTGGGCGGAGAGCCCAAGGTGGTCGAGGTGACTAGGGGTGGTTGACCACGGGGGTGACCGCCTGACCGGAGTGACTCGAGATTATTGACCCCGAGGTAGCCGAAGTTAGGGGTGGAAATCGGTACGGTATCGGTATCCCAATACCAAATACCGAAATCCCGAATACCGAATTACACCCTAAAATCAATCCCAATCCCAATCCCTAAATATTTTGGTATCTCAATCGGTATTATCGAATACAAAATTAATTACCTTTACAATTAGTAATTAAATACAAATGAGATTTTATTGTTTAATTTAGGGCAAAGAGACTAAGCAATGAGTCTTGTTTGAGCCTAACTGAGTGTAGGAGTGAGACTCGGGAAGATGGGTCAAGAAGAGTAAGCAAGGGGGATTAGATATGGATCCAAGAACAAAGGAAGGGGAGAATGTGACCAAGAGAATCAGTAATAAGGACCAGTCTCGGATTCAAGAACAAAGGGAGAATATGACTGAGGTCCGTATCTTAGAGAGAGAAGTAGGTTGTTTTAGAGATAGAGTCTCCAAAAATCTCATCCCTTTACGCACCAGAGTAAATGTCATATTTATAGGCTACATGGTGGTGGGTGAGTTACATGATGACATGACTACTGACATGTCAGGGGCTTAGGCCACAACTCTACCTAGGAAGGGACATTTAGGCTATGACTATACCTAGGATTATGATGGTGACACTCTTTGGGGGACGCGGCGTCGTTTTCGTGGTTTCCTGGTCTGGTCAACGTCTGACCCGAACGTCGTCGTTCGGTGTTCGGTCGCGGATTATGGTTGCGTCAGTTCTGGCGCGCCTGGCTTATGGTCGCGTCAATGCTGGCGCGCCTGGCTCTTATTGAGGCGCCGTTGATGTATTTCCATGGCGCGGCGAGATCCGAGTCATATACCCAACAATTGCCCCCCATCAGGAGGTATTCCGCAAATGCCGCCTGTTTGGTTTTTGCGCGATTGACTTGGGTCTGCGTGATCTTCGTGAGATATTTCGGGGCGGCGCCCGTTCGACTTCTGCGAGGATGGCTCCGATCTGCGTGATCTCTGTGGAAATTTCCGGGCTGATGCCTGTTTGATTTCCGCGCGATTGACTCGGGTTTGTGAGATCTCCGTGAGATTTTCGGGGTCGGCTGTGCGTGACGCTTTTGATTGAGGTTGGATTTTGAGGGTGTTTTTTCTCCTCCGTGGGTGTGCCACGCCCCCCAGGCGGTGCGCGGAACTAGTGACGTCAGCGGCTAGTGCCTATGTCTGGTAGGTGTCCACGTGTCGTTGTCTGACTACTCGGTTTTGGCGGCAGTTTTGAAATTTGAAAAGCCCTGACGGTTACGATTCTCGATGTAACTTTAACCCTTCAACTTTCCCTTGTCAACTATAAATACGAGCTTACTATCGGGGGGTTGAAACTCATTATGCTGTCTTCAAGTTCTGCTTCCCGTTTCTACCTTCGTCTCATCTCCGAGATTCCTCTCCTTCTTCTACAACCTTGATTCTCATTTTGCTGTTGCTAAGACTCGAAGTATTGTCATGGAAAGCA